ACTCCTGTATGAAAGAGACCTTTCCTGGCCTGGCCCAGAGGAAGCTTCTGGTTCTCCATATTGCAGATAACCTCCTTAAATCAGGAGGTCACCCAGGATGAGCAAAAAGCTCTCACAGAAGTCTGTTGTAACCACATGCTCACCCTTCTCCATCAAATTTCTCAGTTCATTTCAAACTTGTTTGTGGTTGGGTTTTTTTAATGGAAAAAAACCCAAAACAAAAACACCCAAATTTTATTTTGCATAAAGACCACTTTGAATAAAAAGAGCAACCTTTTCACTCTAGAGCAACCAACTGCCCTTCTGGAGAATTTGGCCTGGTCCATACAAACCCACCTGACCTGCTGGTCTCTAGTTATCCCACCTGATTCTTTCTAAATATTGACAGAATATTTGCTTTTTCCCCATTCCTTTAAAATCGTCAGATACTCAGATCACCAGATCAGAGACTCAACAGATTCTTTTAATACCCTTAGGTACCAGCTCTTCAAACCTACTGAGATTTAAATATTCAGTATGTCAGCTGATTTTAATCTCCTGGCTTGCTTCTTTTTAAGAGATGGCAGTTCACCATCCCACCCTATCACCTCTCTCCACATCCCTGTTGATTCCCAAAGGCCAGAATGGGCACGTGAAGTCTGCTTTCTCTAGCAAGAAGTCACAACCTCCAGGCTGTCCCACAAGCCCGCTGAAATACCGCATCCCCAGGGTGCACAAATCCACAAACTCACCTTGAAGACCAGGTGACCCGCTGGAGCTGGCCAAAGATTCTCCCATAATAAAGGGATGATGCTCGTGAACCCACTGCACAGCCCAGCCCACCAACCTCTCCAGCGCTTTGGAAAGCGCCCTCCGGGTACTTGCGGGGCTGCAGGCACGTCCGCGGCAGGAGCTGGAAGATGGGTGGCGTGCACCTGGCATCCCAAAGGCTACGAGTGCTGTTGGGGTGGGGTTGCTGCGCTCCTGGCTGCCCGCCATCCCAACGATGACTTCAGTTTCAGCTCTTCCAGGCTACATGTCCTGCATGTGGCAGTCTCCAGCATCAGATGGGACAACAGTACTGAACCAAGAGTAATTGTCCACAGGGGACATTTTCTTCTCCGGTGGCTGAACATCACCCAGAAGCAGCTCGAATCTCCCTGAACTTCTTACAGGTAGGGCTAGTAGGAGCCAGAGCCTAGTGCCCAAGCCACACTGCACACCAAACTGACATGGAAGCTCAACTGCCTCCTCAGCTATTCACCAAAGGCAGTGGACAAAGGTCCCCAAGCTGCGCCATCTCCACTACATGACCTGGGCTTACTCCTAGGAGGAAGGAAGAGCAGGTATAAGCTGAGAAAGCTCCTTTGTAGGAGCCTTTGAGGGGCTCTGCCTTCCTCTGGTAGGAGAAACACACAGAAGAAGGTCTTCTAACCACCTTGACTGCACAGCTTGCAACTGCCTCCATCAAGCAGGGGTGAACCCTGCCTACCTCCCTCGTGTGTGGCTGCTATCCCGGGTCGCCAGCGGCAAGACCCAGGCTCCAACCCTGCAGCCACTCAAACCCTGACGTGCTTGAAATGGGGAAAAGACACACAACCAGCAAGGGAGATGTCGGGGGCTGAGGTCCAAAAGCATTTATTGAAATGAAAAGGATAAAAAGTTCACATGAAACCAAAGCTGAACATGCAGAAGGAAGGATGATGCTTTGTCAGGTTTCTTAAAAGGTCGTTGTATTTCTGATCTTATGAACAGCCCCTTTGTCCCATTCCATAGGATGCCACTTTGGGACGGTAAAAGTTTGGTCTTTTTTCCTCCACTGAAGTGGCATAAAAATAAATCTGTCAACTCATACTATATACATACGTATGGGCTGTATTTATTGTCTGTGGGAAAATATCACTCTATCGGTACTTAAAATTAAGTATCATTATACTTATTTTTTTTTATCTTGCTCCACTACTTACCTGCAATCTTCTTAGGCACAGATGCAAGGTATGGCTTATAAGCCAGCCTGCTCCTGCTGTCTAAGAATGAGTCCTGCTGCCTGTTCAGGTACTTCGAACCCCATCACCCAGGAGAAAAATTGCTTATGAGTCAACCTGGGCACATCACATACGGTACAGCAAAACCCCGGGTGTTCACTACAGGAGCTCTAATCTGGAGCCTAACAAACGGGAACACCTGGGATACAGGGAAACCTGGAGTAGGGAAGGACCAATGTGACACAAGAACACAAATCAGGGTTCACTTTCTTTATAAAACAGAAAATATCTGTACAACTTGGCCACAGCCACAAATGCCTGTCTGAGATGGCAGGAAATTTAATACCAGAAGTGAAAACCTTTCTGGTCTCTTTTCGGTTTTTTTGGACACACGAGTCTTGCCTCTGTGTTGGATCATGCATGTAATTGCAAAGCTTTGGTGAAGCTGGAGGACGTTAGCCATCAGAAGCCTGCAAGTCTTTCAGGGCAAGGGCTGCCTTGTACAGGCACTGTCAGGGACTAGTGAACCATGGTAGCCAAGCGACAGCCTTGGAAGCAGCCTGGGTTTCCAAAAGTCTGGGAAAATGCAGCAAAAAAAAAAATGCAGTTGGTTAACAGCAGAACTGCAAAGACTGGTGCGATGGACAGCTTTCTCCCTGGCTTCATGCAAAGTGTGGGATTTGCCACACAGATATCACACCTTCAACACAGCAGGCTGGATCGCAATAGAGAACGATCCTTTTTTTCTTTCCAGAGCAACAGCTAGTCCCTGAATGCCATTTAAAAGACAACAGCAATCATAAAAGGCCCAAACATTTCAAAGTTGACACTCAGTAAGATGTGCAGACAGGATGGGCAGACATTCACCCCACCAGGGAGACAAGAGCAAGGAGGTCGGGTGGGTAGGATGAGAGATGGCAAGTGACAGATGTGCTCTGAGATCCTCCAACTGACCAAGAGCCACACAACTCTTGAACACGATGAGATAAAGATGAGGCTGCATGCGTTGGCTGACCCGCATCGGAGCCCCAGCTTGTCCCAATGCCCTGGGGAAATCTGCCCTCCAGCCCTGCCACCTGCTACTGCTCTCCCTGGGTCAGAGACATCTCCACAGGACTGGCACATGGAACCTCAGCAGGGGCAGGATAGTGGGAAGCTGACAAAAAACCAAAACAAAACGGCAAAAAATCCCAGTTGAGCCAAAGCAACCAACATCAAGAGGAATGGCAGGACATGTGTGGCAGAGGGAAGGTTTGTTATCTGCAACTTGAAGGCAGCTCTTTCCCCAAAGAATAGTCCTGCTTTGTCCATCCCAGTCTTTCTCTCCTAGAGACAGAAGTCACCGCTGGAGGCATGAGGGTGATCTGGCAGCGCTTCTGCCCGGGGGTGCGGCTGGCACGGGGCAGCCAGGCTTCCCCCTAGCACTGGGTGGTCTCCAGGGAGTCCCATGGGAGAGCTGGGCAAAACGCAGCTGCTTTCGGGCTAGGAGAAGAGACACAAAACAGAGGGTTGAGGCATTTCGCAGTGTTTTTACTAGTACTGGTCAACTGATGCCCAAGAGGAGGCTGGCAGGAGGGGGGAGCAGGTCTGCTCCTGCCCTACCAGCCCCGGTGGTACAGGGACTTAGCAGCAACCCCATACACATCCCCACACCTTCCCCAAGGTCCTCTCTTGCAAACAGTGACCCATTGCTTCACTGATGAGAGGCTGAAAGCACATAGAGGGCAAGTGCATCCAACCTCCTTAGCTGGCACTAATCTTCACCTACTGACCCGCTAATTGACCTTTGTAGAGCCTGACCAGGTATCACAGCCCTGCAGCTCACTCATGAGACCCATCAGTAAACCACAGGCACCTAGAATGCATCTGAAGCAAGCACCTGGGTCTTCTTGCATCCTTGCCACACTCCTCCTGGAAAGCCAAAACCATGCCAGCCACACGAGGTGGCTACCAAGCTCTAGAGATGCGTTGGGGCTGTTCTTCACTGGTCCTACAAGCTCCCAAACCCCTAGGCAGGACCAGAATCAAAGCTCTTCAACAGAGCTAGAAGGTGCCTGGTGTACTGAGATGGAGAATGAGGAGGACCTGAGGTGCAGGGTATGGCCTTCAGGAAGAAGCAGAAGATGCTTTGACAGCATCTGATGACCCCAGAGGTTAACACCTCTCTCAGAGATCCCTGAGAGACAGCAGGCACCCTTCCAGTAGCAGAAGATGCCTGGCACCAAGGAACAAACTGCCCTGGGGACAGTAATCGCCAGGGCAGGGCTGGGTAAGCAGGGAGGCACGAAAGACCCATCCTAGACATCTCACCCTGCCTGGTGGTGCTGTGGGCTGGGGAACCATCACTGTAGAGATGGGCTCATCCAGGTTCTAGACCAGCTCTCCATGCTACCAGCCCCAGCCCAAAAAGCTGATGGTCCTCACAGACATTCCTGGCATCTGCGTTGGGGAGAAGGGAAAGGGCCAGGCAGCTTTCACTCTCTATGCCCTCCCCAAGCAGCCTGAGTTTGTGCTGTTGGCCCCAATCCCAGGGGAGTCACTTGCGAGGACAGCCCTGAAGGACAGTGTGACACTCAGATCCAAGGCTGCAGACCTCGCCTTGTGATGCCGGAGGGCTTAGCAGCAGCCAGATGGGCTCTCAACAGGGGTTGTGCACAGGCCAGGGGACGCTTCCAGAAGGGAAAGACCTTTTGGTACACAAGATCTTCATCTCACACATGCTTTGTACCACCCATCAAAGCTTACCAGTGCATGGTTGGAAGTACTCCCTGTACAGAACTGGCAATTAAACAAACCATATAGAAATCAGACCCAGAGACAGCCGCCTTCTAAAGGGAAGAATCCACACTCTGGTCTTTTGCTCTTCGACTCTTGGTGCAAAGAAAAGCTCCTGAAGTCTTCCTTTCCAGCCATGCACCAGCTAGAGCAAGATGACCCCTGTCTACTGACCAGACAGTGCATGCTTCCCTGTGCTGAGACCCCCAGGAAATTCCAGCACAGAAAATACTGAGCACAAGAGTGGAGAAAGGCCCTTACCCTGTGCCTGCTCTCCTGGCTCAGCGCAGAGGTGTACGTCCCATAGGAGCTCACAGGAGTCTCCAGCCGGCTGCTGGTGCTCCCAAAGCACCCTGCAGCTGAGCTCGGAAAAGGGTGCTGGGGCACAGAGGGAACAGAGCTCAGCTGTTTCTCGGGAATAAGCTGGTATGAGAAGTGGGGGAAAAAACTGGAGTATGGAGCCATCTCTTCCTGGGATCCCCCGCTGCCCACAGTTTCCATGCTGCATAACCCGTTCTGGTTAAAGTGCACTGTTGGCGTGCTGGGCCTTGGACCCAAGCAGCCCTGGTGCTGGGAGATCAAGTCTTGGCTGATGCCATAAAAACCAGGCTGAGCTGGGGACCCCAAGAGTGGGGAAACATAGTCCTGCCACGGGCTGCGGCTGCTGCTGGGAAAGAGGTGTGGAGCAGAGCCAGGCCACCCATTCATCAGCAAGTGACGGTGTTTTGGCTGGCTGGGTGGTCCCACACGGCCCTGGCACTGGTTGGGCAGGGAGAAGGACGTGCGAGCATCCTCTTGGGTAGGATGCAAGGCCATGAAGTCACCCTCCGGCTGCTGAGCCCTGGGTAGCTCCTGTGGGCAGGGAGCTCCTGAGGGCGAGTTGGGTGCCTGGGTGCCCCGTGCCAGCTGGAAGAAGGGGAGCAGAACTTCCTCTCCATCTGGCCTCCACTGTGAGCCATCAGATGGCTCTTCTTCCTCCTTGGCTGGCTCTGGCAGCAGCAGGGGCTGTGCCATGCTGTACCGGTGCTGTTCCCACAATGGAGCAGTGGGCTGGCTTGGGGCAATGCCGGGTTGCACCGCATGCTGGGGCAGGTACTGCGAGTCCTCATTCTCCACGTGGGCCTGGTATGTAGTGGTGCCTCCACGTGGGGTCAGGGATGTGCCTGGCAGGGGACAGACCTGTTGTCCTCCCTCGTGTTTGCTCACCAGAGTGGTGTGGATATAGGAGAGAATCTCATTGCTGGTGAGAAAGCCGTTCAGGGATGGGGTGCGATCAGTGTCCATATTGACCATCACCATTTTCTCATCCAGCAGCAGGAGCTCCAGGTCCTCAGCATTCAACCCCAGGCCCTCCAGCGCACTGAAGAGCTCATTGTTGGAACAGCTCTCGTCACTCTTAATCGAGAGCGAGTCCAGGGTGGCCAAGAGAGGGTCCTCCTGCTGCAAATCCACCAGCTCCTCTTTGACGCTGTCCTCCCTTGAAGAAACTGGAGTAGCGCCCATATTCCAGGCACCTCTTCCTGCATCCAGCAAGGACACGTCCTTGAGATGGTCCACGAAACTGCTGCTGAAGGAGTGGTTAGGGGCGGGAGCCAGATGGGAGGCGTACACCGCCTTGTCCTGTCTCATCACGGCACCCAGCAGAGAACTGGGGTCAATGCCATTCTGCTGAGAGTGCCCTCCATAGCTGTGGGAGGTCTTCTTAGACTTGCTGGTTTTCCCTTTGCTCTGGAAAGGGTCAGGGAAGACTGGGAGAGGGTAAGCGCTTTGGTATAAAAGCGCCTCTCCTGTAGCAAAGGTAAAGGGAAGATGCACGGACCGTTTCTGAAGGTGCTCTCCTCCTTCTTCATCTCTGCAGGGCAGGAAGAGGAGATTGCAGCTTGCATGTGCACAAACACACCCCACAAAGTGCTTCTGCCATGGATAATTGTGATTCCTGCACGTCAAAGCCCCTTCGCTACGACCAGCACACACGTATCGAGCAGAACTACACACACACACATTTATGTATGCACTTACGTACAGATACATGCACGCATGTATATTTTTACATATACACACACACACACACACAAAACCACACATCTTTAGCATAACCAAGAGGATACTTAAAAAGCCAAGGGTAACAGAGCTCTGCCAGACCGAAGTCACACCTTTGCTCCGCTCACCTATGCTGCAGCCACCCCTTAGGACAGGGATGTCAGGCTGTTGCCATATGGCAGCCACATTTGAGGTCCTTGCTGCTCCTGCACCCACATGTCCCAACAGCTGCTGGAGAGCAGCCACCAGTCTCCCCAGTCTGGACCAGTGCCCTGAACACTGAGTCAGGGATGTGAGGTGCAGGGCACTGCTTAGCGCTCTCCTATACATGCGGGGCAGCCTTGCAGAGGGGGATGGGGCTTAACAACATCAAAACACAGTATCCTATGGCTGCTCCTTTAGAAGGCACAAGAAGCAAGAACAAATTGAACAACTTGCCCTGTTCAGGGCATCCCAGAGCCCACACCGATGGAAAAAGCCAGCCTGTCCCCATCCCAGCCTGGGTTGACCCAGATGGCACTTACACGAGGGGTCTCTGCGTGACAATGATGTACTCGGGCTTGCCATTCTTGTAGACGAGTCGCGCATTGGCCTGCACCCACTTCCAGCGATTCTCCTTTGTCAGCAGGCGGAAGACTGTCAGGCCACTCTCCCCTGTCTTCATCACTACCGGGAGGAAGAACATGTGCCAAGGGCTGTCAGCACGACACCAAAGGCAGGGCTGCCTCTGGCAATGCTGCTGTTTCCAGGCAGGATAGGCAGGTGGAGTCACAGCAGTAGCATGGCTGGCACATGCAAGGGACAGCATCCCAGCTAAATACCCCTCACTACATTCCACCCCAAGGTCCCTGCAGTGACAAGAGCATCACAGCAAAGCATAAAGCAAAGCATCCTATGGGGAAAGAGCTGCTGGGCTCAACACGGCAGCCAACAGAGCTGCCCTTAGTCCCAGCCCACTCATCAGCCTCAGAGGTGGACACAAGCGACCAGAGAAGGTATTCTTACTCCTGACGTGGTTCTCAGCACAGTACAGCATGTCAGCAGCATGGACGAACTGGTAGCCGGTGCCGCACATCCGCAGCTCCGCCTCAGTGTAGCCCAAAACGATCTTCCCCCTGTGTGAGATCGAGAACGCACCCAGCTCAGAGGCAGAGCTGGGGTGGGACATCACCCAGGTAGGTATGGAATGGCACGCTGGAAGCCCGCAAATCAGCTCTGCTGCTTACTTGGCATCGCACGCCAAGGGGGTGAAGTCCAGCTTGTGCTTTGTCCTGAAGATCATGTTCTTGGTTCGGATCTGGAGGATGGATGGGGGCTGCAAGGGGGTGGAGATAGCAAACAAAGCGAGCTGGGGTGGCAGTGCAGACCCGTCTTCAGACTTTTTGTTCTGCCCATGAAGGAATTTCAGCCTGCCTTGAAGGTTTAAAGCCTGGGAAGAGAAGAAAAGTTCAGTGTCACACAGAAAATTGCATGGAGAGAGAAGAGAAGAGGAAAGCTGCACAGAAAGCAAGCCATCTCGCTGCAGAATCGATGCAAGTAATCCCTTGTGGCTTGTCCCTTGCGACTCCAGTGCTCCCCACTAAAATAAGACAGAAGATCAAAGGGATGCTACGCTGAGCTCCCCACAGCAGCAGCCCATTGCTTTCTCCCCCTCCAGCCGCTTGCTGCCAGCCCGGGGTTCGGACACACGGTGGCTGCAGGACCAGGCACAGGCTGCAGTTGCATCAGAGCATCACACAATGCACAAGCTGCTTTGCATTTTAACTGGGCTATATCACAGCCTCGTCAGGGATCATAGTATTGCTTCTAAACAAGGGACAATCAGGACCCTTTGTATTGAATTTCCAGTCTAAAGCAGGATGAGAGGAAGAGACAGTGTTGTTACACCTGTGGTTATGAAGGTAAGAACCCCATTAACTTGCAGCAGAGAGGAGGAGGGATAAACACCACCTACTGGGTCTTAAGACATGTCTTTAACACAAAAACCTAGCAAAACATGTGGAGGAAAATCACTTTTGTTCAAGATTCAGCATCTCTGAGAGGAGAAGAACAAAACTCACACGGAGAGGTTGTAGGTACACACCAAACCTATGAAAAACAGCAGAAATATCTCCTTGTTGAGACAAGGAGGTGCTGCACACGGCAGAAAGGAGCGCTGGGTCTTTCAAGGCCAACTTTTATGCTTCAGCAGTGGCATGAACCCCTTGGGGTAAGCCTGTGCCCCTCCTGCTCTGGAGGTCACAGCCCAGGTCCGTACTCACCAGGAAGCCAGAGGAATTATCCAGGAGGCAGCGAAAGCGGCACACGAAGCTCCTTTCCAGAAAGGAGGAGTTTTCTGGGGGCAGCTGATCCGGCTTGTACGCAACAAGAGAAGAGTCAAGACTCTTCCCCACTGTGGGAGAGAGAGACTGAGAGAGGAGCAAGCAAAGATCCCCCTCTCAGCGAGGGTTGGAGGTCCCTAGAAAGGGCTGGCGGTCCCCAGCATCGGGCACTGCAGCAGTTTGCAGAGCAGAGCAACAGAAACTTGGGGAAAGTGGCAAGGTTTAGATGATACCATTGCTTGAGCCCCAAGGACACAAGCCCCACGCAAGCGGTGGCAGGGAGCTGGGCTCCTCAGCGTACGTGGCGAGCTACACATCTTGTGCCAACCAGGATGCCTGGCTTCCCAGCCTCCATTTACCTTCTGGAGAAGGCTCACCCTCAGGAACGTGGGGTGGGTTGAGGGCCCAGTGGAGGTTGCGTCTGAATTCCTGTTGGTCCTCGGTGTGGATCAGCTCAAAGACACTCTGGTGCATGACATCTGTCTACAGGAAAAAAGCAACGCATGAGCTCTGCAGACTGTCCCAAGGTACCACTTTTCATGTCCCACCTGGAAACGGCCCGTCACAGCCCCCATTGGCCATATCTTACCCAGTTTCCATGGTGCTCAACTAGGTCCCTGGCTGAATGAGGTTGGACACCTTCCACCAGAGCTGATGCTGGTGGGTACAGACAGCACATCTGGCTCCAAGGACCCCTTGCCCATGTTGTGCCAGACCTCCCCCCACCCATCCTAAAGAGCCACAAGCATCAGCAATACAGCTCCCCTCCGACACACGTCCCCGTAACATGGTGTCCTTCAACATCCTAGCGCTGACTTATGGGATGAGATGAAAACATGGATTTGAGAACAAAAGAGCAGCAAAGCCACCCCATCCCTACACTGTTCCTGAGAGGACAAGGCAACTGCTTTGACATTGGCTCTCTCTGTCCAGGTGGACAGTCCTCATCTACCCCAGGTGATGGGGAAAGCCAGCTGTGTGGGAGCAACACCAAACCACGGTAACTGAAGGACTGTAGGTAAGTCCTGCTTCCTCATAAATCTGACCTAGTGCCTTCCAGGTTACCTGGGCGCTCAGATAACCAGAAAGCATCGGAGCCTTATGGGATTTACCAGGGGTCCCCCAGAGGAGCGGGTGTCCCTGAAGGCAAACTGGATAGGGAACCCCAGACATCTCACCATGGCATTACACAAGAGGGCCGTGAACCTCACGCCTGTCATTGTGGTTGGTGGAAAGCATCTGTGGGCTAGCAAAGTTGCTTTGACACCTCACAGTGACCACATCTGGCAACACAGGGTCCAAATTCACAAGCCCAAGGAAAACCCCCATACAGCCCCCCGAAACCCTGTGATCCCTGCAGAGCTTTCTCCCTGCAGGGAACCTGGGACTCCACCACCAAGAAAAAATCCACTCTGCAAACCCATCACAGTGAGTCTGAGGTGTCCCACCAACCTGATGAAATCCCAGATAGTCCTGAATCGTATGTGAGGAGTAAAAGATCAGTCCTTCTGATGTCACCACCAGCACGAAGCCATTGAGCGCCTAGGGGAGAGAGAGGAGATCAGCAGGTACACGCCACGCTTACATCACCTTTTTCTAGCATGATGGCAGGTTCCATTCTGCTTGGACATTGGTCACTCAAGTCCTGGTTGGTCCCAGCTAGGAGGCAGCTGAGTCACTGCCCCACCAAGAGAAAGGTGTAGAGCAGCAGACAAAGCCTAGGAAGGAAACGAAGCCCTTCCCAATGACACCTCGCTATCGTAACACTGGGTGCTGCCCTGGCTCTCGCCAAATCCTCCGACGCACTGTTCAAGTAGCTTCTTGGTTTCATACCCTTCCTGTAGGACGGGAACAGCACCAGAGATCTGCATCCTCGCAATTGCCTCTATGCACATACCTTGCCGCACTGCCAGAGCACATGCGCCTAAAACACAGGTTTTTGCAGATCTGATGAGTCTGCTTTACCTAGCAGAGGTCAAGGTCTGCAGCTCATTCTTTCATTTTCCTCCGCTCTGCCTTGCCTGAGTAAACTCCACCAACTGCAGGCGGGCTGGAGAAAAACGGGGATCAACACTGGCAGAGCTGTGCTCACCAAGAAAACAGATGGTACCTTCTGCTGGGTTCCTCTGAGGTCATGTAGCAATTCTGTACAGCTGCTCAGGCGTATCCTAATCCAAACTGATGGAAAACTTTGCTTCCATTCTGGAAGCGTTCGCTCAGACCCAGATTTGGACATTTATATTCCTCCTATGTGAAGAGCAAGTAAAAGTCTCAGAACTGCTTGCAGCACAAAACCGGACACCATCAGGAACTGGTCCATTCTGGTATTCTGGCGGAAACAAGCCTTTCTGACAACCTTGAATCAAAAGAGCATTTCATGTCGGCAGCATTTCATGTTGACCCGCATCTACCTGGATGGCTCTGCTCATGTAGGTCCCATCCTTACCACAGCCCAGGAGGGTCTTGGCAGCCACGTGTGGCTTAGGGCAGCGTGAGGCTGGAAAAGCTGGGGGATGTTCAGAGGACAGCAAACCCACCACAGGTCACCACACACTGCCAGCGTTGGCCGGGCATTCCCTGCTGCTGCTTGGCCCAGGTGGATGGGGATACTCTGGATGGTTTGGGAGAAATCTGCCTAGCTCCTGGCCTTGTTTGCATCCCTCCTGTCTTCCTCAGGTGCCAGAGGAGAGGTCTAGAGAAGGACCGTGGTGTGTCTGCTTGGCTGTCCATGGGCAAGGAACAAAGCCAAGAAAGGTGTTGTCTTCACTGCCCGCTCCCTCCTCCCGCATCGCTCACCCTGTGGTCGAGGTGGCCAACCCAGCGCTGCAAAGAGCCTTAACCAGTGAAAACAGAAAAGGTGAAAGCTAAAGCGTAAGAGTTTGGTTTTGAAACTGTAGCAGAAACATCCGATTTTGAAAAGCCATTTTCTTCCAAAGCAGGAGGGAGGCCAGACTGAGTGTGGTCCCTGGACTTGGGGGGAAAACCACAGAATCGCTGGTTGATCTCAGAGTTCCTTTTCCTTTCGGCAGATAAATGATTCACCCCAAACTCACACCCGGTGACGACCTACTGCAGGGCACTCATCCAACCTGCACAGCACCATCCTTCCAAAGCACCACACGGCAGCAAAAGGACCAAGCATCAGTGTTCATAGAGGAAAAGGATGTCTGCAGCCACCCGCACCGGGGATGCACGTTAGCCACAAGACGCTCCTCTTCCTCTGGAGCTCTCTCTCTGCGTCCTGTACAGATTTACACAACGCTTACAGCCCATCCTGGAGCACATGCTCGTTTGTGCATGTCCTCCACCCAAATAGGCTCAACTCTGTGCTCTGTTTTCACAAAAGAAATACTCAAGCTGCTTCGCCCATGCAGGTTGGAAGCACTAAGCCCTCCCCACAGAAAACAGCAAATGCAGCCATCAATCTGAAGTTTCTGATGCATTTTTAATGTTACACAACTTACATATTTTACAGTACACTGACCCTTTCATCCTCTCCTTGAGCTCCAGGACTGCAAGGTCAACGTCCAAGGGAGCACTGCATTTCCCAGCAGGAACGGGCTAGGCTGCTCAGAGCCTCGATTTTCCTTAAGAGGGCTTCCTTCCTACCAGCTTAACAAATTTGGGAAGTAATTTGGGTGTTTTCTCTGAGCCAGTAGCCCCAGGGCTGGCAGGACAGGACACAGGAGAAGGGACCAGGGTGCTGGCTGACAGTGTCCTTTGCACCTGGAGATCCATGAAGACTAGAAGGTGCAGAAGAGCTTCCCTACCAGTTTGGGAGTGCAGCTGCTATCCCAGGAGCCCTGGCTTTCCATCTCTGCTCTCTGCAACCAGGCAGGAGCTGATAATACAGAAGAATATTGGTAACACAGGCACTGGCAGGATCCAGGGGAGCACCCCTAAGTGCCGCAGGCACTGCACCAACCTTTGCCAACCATGACGAGCAAGCCTCTATAGCACAGAGCCCAGTCCTTTGAAGACCTTGTCATCACCTTGCCAGGGCTGGGAGCAAGCCCATAGGAATCTCCCCCTGACCCCAAGTGGTAAGCATCACTCCGTGACTCATTTTCCCCGGTTCTGAAGTGATCCCGATAGACTTCCAGTAAACACCTTCAAGTCCATGGTGCTGCCTAAGAGCAAAGGCCATGAAAACCCAAGAAAATCATCGCTTTTGCTCCTCAAAAGCCAAACTGCTTTCACTGTCATGACAGCACCATCCAGCCACCCCTCCCTAAGGGCAATGGGTCCTTGTGGGGACACTCCTGGCAGAAGCAGGAACCCTCCAGAAGGCAGGGGTTCTCCTGCAGTGTACACCCCAGAAGCCCTATGGCTGTCCAGAGCCAAAACCATCCTGTACCACTCACCTGGCTGCAGGCGAGGAAGCCACAGTAGCCAGTCCTGGCCTGCTTCCCCCACTTCGCAATGTATAGACATCAGGATTAATTAGGGTCTAGCGCGTAGTCTCAGCCAAGTCCAGCTATTGTTGGCTGCCAAATCCTGTTTCATTGTCCAGATCAGTGTTTCTCCCCCCTTCTCCTTCCCTTTATTCTGAGCACAAACGCTCCCTCTATTTACTGGGGTTGATCTCAGTGTGTGGGAATCTGTTGCAGAGGTTAATTAGTGCTGCCAAACGCACTTTAACCCTTTGAGCAGCTTCGGAGGCATTGCTCTGCCACAGCAGGAGCAAGCAACATCTTGCAGCACTCGGTCCTTCCCTAGCAGCACTGAGCAGCCGGCAGATTTAATACCTTGCAGCCAGTAATGTGTACCTGCATTGCCGTGCACCTGGGCAGAGACTGTCCACCCAGTTCTCAACCTTGCGAAGGCCTTGGTCTCTTTAGAAGGATTTTCATGCTTAACCTCAATTTAAGATACCCTACCTTTCTGAGACTGCTGTTGGAGAGAGCCTCGGTGGAAAAGGACAGAGCAAAAAAGGAAGGCTGGAAAATTAGGGAAGGGGAAGGGAAGAATCAGGGTGAACCAAGAGATAAGACAAAGGAAGTTTGGATGTCAAAGGTGACAGACCAGGTGAAAGTAGTTTTATAAATATGCAGGAGAGTTTCCCCAGGGCACGGAGGCAGGTCCTGAGCCCCTGCCACATGCAGCATCGTGCAGACGGACTCCTGGGAGAGCCAAACCTAAACCCAGAGCTTTTAACACCCAGCTTGGTACCTCTAAAAGGATAGAATCAAACTCTGGGAAGAGTTGATGAGCAGGACATCAATCTCCAGCAAGCCCTGCTGAGCACAGTTTTGTTACACCCACAACGAGAAACCCTCAGATTTTTGGTTATTAACCAGCCTGGCTTTAGCATTTCTCTTACTAGACACCGAGATGCTCAGCGAGCTTGTGGATAGGAGCTAGGGCTGACCAGCACACTTGCCCCGCTCTGGACAACAGCCAGGCAGGGGCCAGTGCTGCAGCCTGGGTCTGAGTGCCTGGTGGGGGGAGAAGGGGAGACCTACATCCTTGCAGCACCTCACACTGCTGGAGCCCGACCTCTTCCTATTCACCGTGCAGTTTGTAGACAGGTGGTCATCTCCTGGCGTCTTTGAATAAACCATGGAAGCAGCAGGCTCAGCCCAACCGTGCTGCAGCATCACCAGTGTTGCTTTCAGTATCACCAAAGGAGCCATCTATACACCGCTCACAGAGCTCCTGGGATACAGCCACGTGCTCTGTGTATATGGGCTGAGCATATGGCCCATCGGCATCTATCTACGTACTCTGTGTCATGCATCATTGCCTGAAAATCAGGGAAAACTTCCGTGACATTTTCTTCCCTGTTTTCACCAGTGTTTGGACAACATCCTCAAGTCGGGACCAGTGTGCACATGTTGAAAATCACACTCAAAACGTCTTGCTCTGCTTGGCTCTCATGTTACATCTATGACCCATTTATATACAATGACAGAAAAGCAGAAGAGCTGAATCTCTGTGCTCAGAAATTCAGCACTGCTTCCACCAAGATGGAGGGTTTGGTTTGGGGTGGGGGTTTTTTGGGGTTGGTTTGGGTTTTTTTTTTTTGGTTTGGTTTTTTTTTTTTTTTTCAAACACACAGACAATTCACAGATGGCATTTTTCTCCAGGAAGGATGGGAAAAGGAGAGGAGAAACAACACCGTTTCTGCCCCAGGGATTTGCAGAGGTCTTAAACCTCTACTCAGTCAGAAGCAATATGAGCTACACCACTTGAAATCACTGCTTCACCAAAACATCCTGCAATCAACAGAAGAGCTTGCTCTTTGGGTAAAATTCAAAGGAACTGGAAAGGGGAGAAGAAGAAAACCCCTTGAAGGCATCCGCCAGGGAGAGGTGGCCAGCAAGAAGCACTGACCTGGAGGAGCAGCTCGCCTTCTGGTACCGCTGCCGAGCCCGGAGCTGGTCCATTGCCGCAGTCTCCATCCTTCTCCGCTTCTTTGGCACCATGATTTTTCAGAGCAACTGCACAAAGCAACGGGAAGGGACTTCAGTGCTGCAGTGACACACACAAGCTACCCCACGAACGTCCGGAATGTGGGCCTGGCTGCAAAGCTGGACAATGCTGTGCCAGGGGAAGCTGTGGTGTAGCCAACCTTTTGCTTCACTCCTCAAAAGAGTTGATTTTAACAGGACGTTTCCCCCACCTCCCCAATACCCTCAACTGTCCCCCGACCTTTAACAATCTACAAGTAAAGAGCAGTTAAAGCCAGGGATGATAACAGCAGATAGGCATCAGCAGAATACCTATAAGGTCCTGTGTTTACCAGCAGTTATCTGCAACCAGTAGCACAAAAGGATATATTTAGTGAACTCACCAGCTGGAAATCTCTCTTATCATTTAACAATAGCAACCATGGAGGTCCCTGGTCCCAATGTAGACACAGAATCAATGCCTCACACCACTCTTTGCAAACAGTAAGAGCCAGCCCTTGGTGCCACACCACGCACACCCCACTGGCTCTCGGGGCATGGCAGCAGCTCTGTCCTTGCTGGGAGAGTCACTGCATCCAGCATTTCTTTGTGATGCTGAACTCGAACGGATCAGCTCATGCATGCCCTAACTCTGCAAAGGTCAGCGGACCAACAGCAGCAAAAGGCCGCCCTACACAAAAGGCATTGCAGCGAACCCCACTCTTCCAGGATAAGGAACATGCCATTTTGAAAGGTACAATCCAGATAGTCCAATCAATGATGTCTCGTTAGAGTTCAGCAAAATAGCGGGTTTATTCAATCAAATTAAAGCAAGCCACAGCTCACAGTGGGAGAAAAACAACACAGAAAAACACATGTGGATACAAACACTGATACCTGAGATCATAGGCAACCTAACAGTGATCGATGCACAATAAATACGGATGAGGAAATCCATCACTCAGTTTAACTAAAAGACGTGTCTGTAAATTTTGTACTGTACTCCCCAAGAAAATAAATCCTGGGTATATTTTAGGGTGGATAATATTCAAAGAATAAGATGACAACAAGCTTGTGCATGGCAGGCCTGACCAAGAGACAGTGGAGACTGCAGCAAAGCCAAGAAGCTTCTTGCAAGCACCGTGAGGACAGAGGATGGTATTTGGCTGCTGATAAACCAGCTGCTCCCACCAGAACCTGGGGGGAAAGGTGTGAGGCACCAGCAGTAGCTACCACTGCAGCCTGCCTGGTGTGCTCCCTTGCTCCTGCTCAGAGAGAGCAAAAACTCTTTTGAATTTGCCTTTCCCAACTCCTGTTCTACACGTGCCAAGGAGCTGCCATGCTCAGATGCGACGGGAGCATCAAGTGGACCCTGGAAGTAATTTAACAGCCCATAAAGCTGTCAGCAGGAGCAAAGCTGCGAGCCAAGACAGAGCAGCAAGTCAGAAGGCACCAGCCACCAGCATGTAAATGAAACCAGGCTCTGGAATGCTCGGCTCACCTTGTGCTTTGCCAAAGCTGCTGCTGAAACTCAGCTCCTCCATCCACATGGAGCAGATCCTGAAGGACCTCAGCGCCTGTGTGCAGAAGCTTCCCAGACGCTGCGAAAGGCAGGTGCTCCAGACGTGCCTCTGAGCCTTCCAGGCCCACGAGGTCTGAAGGTGAACTCAGCAGCATCCACATTCACGGGGCAGCCGTGAGCAGAGGGACTGGTTCGGTCTCCAAAGTGGAGTCCCCCCCATCTATCAGCATTTCTTTGCTGGGAAGACAAGCACACAGCAAAGGCACACCGCTCCCTTTTCCACTGCCAGGGCTCACCTTCCATCTCAAAGTCCTCTGCATCCTCAACGGGCATCTGCCAAGCACTGGCTTGCAGGCAGGTGGGAATAAAGAAGGTTGCTGTGGTCTGCAGAGCCTCACCGGTATGCACGTGAAGCTCTGGGGACAAAAATGTTCTTCCACCAGACATAGCACCATCCCAAGGATCGATTCTGCTCCATAACCAAATGCAGAGCACATGCCGATTCTAATACTGCTTTTAATGAAAAGAAAAAATGATACAGCAACAAAGCTGGAAGTGTTCAAGGCCAGGTTGGATGGGGCTTTGAGCAACCTGGTCTGATGGAAGGTGTCCCTGCCCATGGCAGGGGGATTGGAACCGGATGGGCTTTAAGGTCCCTTCCAACGAAACCGTTCTGTGATTCTATGAAAACTGCTTCTGGGAGGTCCAAGAAATTCCCCCCGGGCTCAGCCTGCACAGATTATTTCAGGAACTATTTGAACACCGAGGGCCAACAGCCTAGGATTAAGGTTACAGCACGTGTCTGTACCACAGCGAGTCGATCCTGAGCACGCTAGGAGGGACATGCACGTGCTGCCACGTCCCGACTGCTCCCCGACTCCGAACACCATCCTGCTGCGAGGACTGGGGTCCCCTGCCTGGGTTGGAACCCAACAAACCTGCACAAAGTCCCGGGCACGGGCAGGCCATCGGGCAAAGCATTGTGCAAGCACGGCAGTTGCAACCCCTAGGCAGGGTCCCGCGGTATGGATGGAGAAGGTTTCCGGCAGCGCCCTTCCAGCAACTCGCTTTTCTGATCTCTGGGAAGAAAAATGTAGGAGCTATGAATTATTAAAGGTCTTTAGTCCTCCTCCACTACCTCCCAGACTGCTGCGCTGGAGCTGCAAGATAAAAATAAACCTGGATGATAGAACAGCAGCTAAAGGGTGCTGCCCTCTACTCAGAGGTCTGGTTTAACGGCTTGAGATTTCCCTGCAAAAGGAAAACTTGATCACAACCACTGCCTAAAAAGAGACTTTGCTATCAGCATCTTGGTTGCTCCTAAACTGTGGGCCCAGAGGAGACACAAGTTAAAATCAGAGGACAGCCCACTGTCCTCCATGCAGATGCCTGCCACCAAACCCAGCCTGCTCCTGCAAACAAGATCGAACTACCAGGGCTGAGGGGCTGCTCTTGTATAAACCAGAATCCCCCCGCGGGGGGCGGTGGGTGTCCCTGTGACCTTCACCAAACAGCGCATTTTCCATCCGAGTCACCCAAATAACCCCAAAGATGACCCACTCTTGGCTGCAGATATCTCAGGCTGGCCTCCTGCCTGGTGTCCCCTGGCTTTGTCTCTCCATAAATAGCCCTGTGCAGCCCCTCAGGTCAGCAATTCAGCAGAACTGTCGCAGCGCATCAGACTGATGGAGCAGAGATGAGCCGGAGAACCGCCGCGGCATCCTCCCCACCACGCACAGCATCCTCCCCGCCTGCCCGGGGAAGGGCAAGGCAGGAATGGGGTGAGCTCAGCACCAGGGAAAGGTGGCCGTCCCAATACAGCACTTGCCTTCACCTTGGGCAGGGAGACAAGGTGCAGTCTTTGCCCTCACTGTGTAAACAGGGACAGGCATTCACAGGGGAAAAAGAAGGAAAAAAAAGAAAAAAAGGAAAAAAAAAAAGGAAAGGAGAGAAGTGGCTTTTCCTTGGTTCTTTCACTTTGGCCACCAGCATCACCTTTGCCACTGGCAGCTGTGGAAGGAGGAAGCTAAAGGAGAGAAGTTGGTCACCTGAAAGGAGCAAGGCCTGCACATTTTTCCTGCTATTTCTTTTATTAAAAAAAAAAAAAAAAAAAAGCTTCTGCAAGGCTATTTTGCCACAAAAGCCTTCTAGTTGAGAGTAAGAAAAATCTCTCCCCACCTGACCCCATCTCTGAAGAATGAGCTCCCTGCCCGCATCTGCCTCCCCACAGGAGGAAGATGCTTTCTCCACTGTGGGGGTCCTCACGCACAGGTACCCACGTTGCTCACCACGTCTCTGCTACCTGGCTCTGTGCTGTCACCCCCAGGGAGCAGAAGGGCTGGGTGAGGGGGGGGCAATGGGGATGGGTTTCCTCCCTCCATCTCCAGGCTGGTGCTTCCCCCGGGACCCAGCCTGGGAAGCTGTTTCATGTGATGCTGAAGGCACACCTCGTTACCTACCAGGTTTGCCAGTGAACTCCTGAACCTGCCAGAGCTTTGCAGACCTGAGAAATCTCTGCACCAACAAGCGGGTATTAACATTTTTGAGAGGATATCTCCCAGCCCCCTTCCCTCCACACGGCAAAACCTCCAAGTGGGAGCAGAGTTTCGGATCGGCCGCTGATTGTGAAGGAGGAAAACGAGATGACTCGGTGCTAAACCCACTCCAGGCATTGACACAGGAGAAGCAGCAGAAGGAAACCCAACTTCATGGCTCTTCAAGAGCATCAAGGGGTCGTGTCTCCCCACCATTGCTGGCATCATTTAAAGGAGGCAAGAAAACACTGAACCCAGCTGCAGGTGATGGCAGGGACACGTGCACGGCAATTATTAGTCTGAGCAGGTCTTGTCGGGGGGAGAGAGAAGAGGAGTTTTGGTCATGGTGCTCCCTGCAAGCATTCTGCTGTAGGGCTCAATGCCCCAGTGCATATCAGTTGCTCTCTGGGGGAAGGAGAGATTGGTTGATTTATTTATTAATGAAATTGCCTTCTATCCACCTCTCTCCTTCTGTCATTCGTGCCGATTCCCTGCAAAGCAGGTCTCCTGCTCACATGGGAGTAAACACCTTACCGTGAGATATCTCCCAATCTTCCTTTCCCACCTACCTCTCCAGCTCCCAGATGCTCATGGGCAGAGGGACCTGCACCTTTGCTGCTCAGTACATATGTTCTCACATTAAATAACCCCTCAAAATTGTTTTCCTGCACTTTATTGCAAAGAAGAAACAAAATATAGGAAATTTAGAAAAAAAAAAAAACACAAAACCTCTTTCATTTCCTTTTGAATGGACTGAGGTTGTTTCATGTTTAATCTAAATTTTTAATTTAGAAGAGTCACTTAAACACAAATGAAGCTTTGCCCCCAGTCAGAATGATATTTTCCTTTAAAAATAAAAAAATAAAGGGGTCTCCCCAACAAATAAGAAAAGTTTTGCTGATGAGCTCACATGGGTCCCAGGTAGCAGTTCCCAACCACAGCAGTCTCAGGTTGCCCGTATCAGACATCATCCATCTCCCTCGGCTTCGCAAGGTCCCTCTGCCAACAAGGGCTTGCATTGCCTGCCACCCTCCCCGGGGACACTGCCTGGGGGAAACCTCCAAGACCTGCCACATCCACCCCTGAGAACACGTGTGTCCACCTAAAAAAGCTGAGGAAGAGCCCAGTTCTGTCCCTCCGGCGTGACACACGAATTCTGCAACGCTCCAGTGAAACCAGCACAAGAGCTTTTGTTTCTACTGGTGGGAACCCCGCAGGTTGACAGAGCCACATCTCAGCAGGAGCATGCAACGTGGAGAACAACGGCGTGATGCTAAGGGAGCAAACTTTGGCCCAAATGCCTTCTTAATTGCCATGCTCAAACCAGTGGAAAGCTAAATTGCTGTTGTGAAGGCACGCGAAGCACTGCGACCTCCTCTCTGGCTTCTCCGATGGCACCTACGCCGTCAGCATGCCAAATCTGATCACTGCTCTGTTATTTAATCCGCTTGTTTTACAGCAAGCTTACATGTCTCCAACTATTTTGAGAAGCAAAGAACAGGAACATGCACTTAGTAAAGTGTATCCCATTCTGGGATTTTATTTTCTTTGTTGTTGTTGAGCATGAACTGAGCTCTTCCTAGCCAATGCAAAATGATTCCACTTCCATATACAAGGAAGACTTAGCGGATGCAGCCAGCAGCTCCTCCAATGTGGAGTGTCTGAAATGCATTAGAAGGAAAGAGCATCATGGAAATGGTGAGAGAAGTGGGCAGAGATTTGCTGAAACCGGGCAGCAGAGCCATCTCCTCCCCAGCTTGCTGAACCATCAGTTCATTTCTCACCGCCCAGCTGTATGGAGCCCATTTTCCAACAACTGGCAAATACTTTCTGACTTTCTTTTTGCTTATTCATAATGGATACTATGGTTTTACTTACCATTTCTGAATACCTGCCACAGCTCCCCGTTGACATAAATTTCATTAAATAGCTGAATTATTTATCCCTTGCCTGAACGGTGCAGATACACCACCTTCCGTGAACACGCGTGGTGAATAATGGATGCCCTGTTAGAAGATCTAATTGTACTTTTAAAAGCAAGGCGGCCTTCACTACGCATAGCTTTCTGTTCTGTCACCGAAGGCACTTGGGTCTCAAAGGGAGAAGCACAGGCAGAAGTTTAAACAAGGACAAAGATGACAAGGACTGGCTAGGCTTTCCCTTCTTCCTGCAGCATCGACAGCTCTCTCGCTCCCACCACTCGTCCCCCAGGAACTTTAGGTGTGCATCATCCCAGCCCGAAACCTTAACCCGGAGTTTCTTGCCACCTCTGCTCCCACGCTTGCATCTGAAGGAGCCTTGAGACACCCGTTTGCTTGTAGGCAGCAGAGAAGGCAGCCACTGAGAGCACAACGTAAACCTCGAGGACCTCCGACAGCTCCCTACCAGCTACCCTCATGCGGGCCAGGGAGAAATATTTGGCAAGGAAAGCACGCAGCAGGAAAACTGCTTACCTAAGGGAAGTCACAAGACTTCCTCAGCTTAAATTGCTCCTCCAAGGCCAGCTCATTACCTAGGCAATTAAGAGAGCAGGGTGATCATAGGACTAGGCTTTATTTTCTTAAACCATCCCTTAGGCTTTATTGCTCCAGCTATCTGCAGTACGTGGCTGAACAGCTCGTAAGGTGGGAGAGCAGCCGAAGTGAACAAGGGAGCAACACTCGTCATCTCTAAACAACCGCACGTCCCCATCTCAAGCCCTCAGAGGTTTCAGGGGCACAGTCTATAGGGTCTATAATAACCATACAATTTAAAGCACTTTTCCAGTCTGATCCAACTGCCAGGGAGCAACTTAGGTAC